CTTGCTTCACAAGCTTTCTTTATGGCTGCATCATTCATTCATTCATTTTTGACACAATGGTAACAAAAATATTAGTTGAAGTAACGATAATTAATACTTAAGTAGGTACTAACAACAATAAAAAATAATACGGTTGTAAAAACTTACGTACAGTCAACGTTCAAACTTTTGCGGTCGTAGTATATCCAGCCAATTTTACGATGAATCCACTCGAAGAATCGTTCGGGACGCGTGCGGTACAAACCGACACGGGCCTTATTGCTAAGGTAGCAATCTCTACCAGGCAACCTTTGGCTAAATGAAACCATACCTACTGTATGAATAGTAAAAATAAATAAATAAACGTAAATATATAATATAGTAAGTATATAAGGAAGCTATAAAATACAATAAATAGTAAAAAGATCAGGCAACGTCCAGCTTGAGGAAATATTCCTTAATTTTAATAGTAAAGGAGTCCCTCATCTGTGCACGGTTAATATCCAAAGGCAAAGCGTTCCACAACTTAACAGCTCTTACATAAAATGACTTTGCTACGAAATCAGTGGATAACTAAAGATAGATTATGAGAAGACCGAAGATCACGGACAGGATTAAAAGAGTGAAATGTGAAACGCTCCAGAAGATAGGAGTGTGTGGATGAAAAAGGATAGAATAAAGGAGTGATAGGATGTGACAGTCTCTTCTACGAGAAATGGGTAGCCATTGAAGTTGGGAATGATAATGAGAAATATGGTCGTACTTACGCAGACCGAAAATGAATCGAATGCATAAATTATGCAGACGCTCGAGTTTATTACGAAGAACAACACTAAGGTCAGAGTAACACGCATCGGCATAGTCAAGCAACGAAAGAAGAAGGGACTTGCGCAAGAGAAATTTTAGTCTTGGTCGGCAACATGTTTTTCAGGAGTTTCAGCGAGCCATACTATGATGTATATATTGCATTTTACGGGTGATGTTTCAAGTCTTATAAAATAATTATTGATGATCTCATTATAAAAATATGTACATATTTTAGTAGTTCAATGATTGTAAATTAATTCAATGAAAGTTTTTGATAGTAATTCTATTTAATTCAATATCAAAATACGAGTTAAACCGCGGAGGTTAGATGTTTTTTTAATAATGAATGAGATGGAAAATCAAGATTCTAATACATTATGTTACAACAAAAACATATTTCTGATGTCGTAGTAATTAATTTGATCTAATTTATTATTGAGAGATTGAGGCGTTATGAAGCTATGCATATTATCGTTTTATCCGTAAACTAGCTGCGGTAGAACGATCCGTACAAAAAAAGGAAAATAGTATTTGCAAATATTCTACATTAACTTACAATAGGAAGAATAAATCTACTGTTTACTTCTATTGGAAATAGTCAAAATCTTTACAAAGGGGGAAAACGGGGCGCTCAAAATTTGCGATTCATTGCAAAAAATTTGAAAGGGCTCTTAACAGTTTAAAGTTCCGAAACATTCACAATTTCTACTTGCATTTTGTAATTATTTAAATGAATATCTCGTTCTGTAACAACCTTACAAAGAACAGCATCGAAAAAATTGTAGAGCAATAAATAAATTGTGCCGGAACCTTCGCACGTGAGCCTTAACTAGGTCTTGTCTTGTTTTTTGTAACGCTTTGTTGCTCATCATGTAATTCCATCTTCTAACTTAAAGAGGGAAAGTGTTATAACATTGCTGAATTTTTATTCAGTTTATGTGACAATTAATTTGTAGACCACTCAAAATTGTATTGAAGTCTGCAAACCTGACACCTATTAACACGATTAATAACATGCCATAGCGTTATGGCTTCTTTTTAATTATAAGAGTGATATTTAAACTCCTATGCTGAAAGTTTGTGTACCTACTGAAATTTAGATTCCATAGGTATATTATATGAACAATTTACCCCAATACTTTACATACACTGAATGGTTTTCAAATTTCTCTCAGCAACAAAGGCGGCAATGACTTTATAACAAGTATCTTTTCACTTTTTTTTCGACCGCGTCTGGAGTCACGCGTATCTGCCGTTCTATCATAACCGCGCGCACAACTTATTCTCAAAACTGAGTTAACTGTGCTTCTTAATTTAAACTTTGTTTTTCTTTTGCACAGGTGTTTTATGTTATGTTTAATGCATCCTTTTTGTTTCTTTGCCTCTTTCAGTGTTAAATTACAGTGCGTCATGTTGTGGGGAGCTGTTTATGTTATTTGTGTACATTGTTATTAATGAAATGCACAGAACTATTTAGTTTGGAAGTTCGCCTCTTAAAGTAGTGCATGCCTTGATATCGCACCTGAGTAGAACGAGGACAACATGACTAATTCGCAGGTACTGTTTTATTTTTTATTTGCACTATTTCCTATCTCATTAAGAAAATCACATCGCAATTTATTTGTATCAATTTGAAAGTTATAACGTGCGTAAAACTGTTTACTGCTCGGTACATTCACTTCGGTATTACGTAGACGTAGAGTACATAGAATCGTTTTCTATCGATAGCTATGTGAAATGGTTGGAACAACTTTCTGAAATTAAACGTATAAAATAGGTTTGGAACTCCCTTGCCGTAATAAGAGTATGTTGACACTGATTTTTTTTTCGTCTGTGATACAACTGTTTGATTAGTGATTTATATCTTACAATCTGAGAATAATATTTATTGAGAAAAAATAAATATTATTCTCAGATTGTAGTATGCAAAATAATCCGATTTTAATTATTACGCTTCCTTAAATTTAAAGTAGTGAAACGATTAGGTATGCATATCAATAACCTTCAGTATACTTTATCATTTGAATCGTTGAGTATCTATTCTTTATAGTACAATGTAGTGTCTTCTAATGTGGGATGAGTTAAGTAAACCATAACAAGTGTAACAGTTTACGTAATGAATGAAGCTCAAAGTGCTTCCAGTCACTTCATAAGCATTTATGTACATAATAGTTAGTCTCAATTACCGTGGTATACTTGTACTTATTTGACTGACGCCTTGTGCTACGAACTGCCCTCACTTTGGGATCACTTCAATTAGTTTGTTTTTTTAGGGTTTCGCACCCAAAAGGTTAAAACAGAACCCTATTGCTTTCACTCTGTCGTCTGTCTGTCGTATCCGTATGTTGCGGGTCTCTAGATCCTAAACGGAATGAGTTATAGAACTGAAGTTTTGGAATATTATGTTGCATGCTTGCCCAAAACAGAATATTTAATTAAAGATTAAATTAAATTATTTTGCATATAACATACAATATATGAAAAGGAGATGACTTTTTTCTTTTTTACCCCAGTCATGACACATCGTTGTCTAGAACTCGTTGAATAGAATATAAATATAATTTTAATTTTATTTCCAATAAGATAGAAATGGGGGGTCCCAGGGTTGCCATAATTAGACCATTCTTGTTACGAGGTCTAACTAACGATATGGTCTAACTCAAATTCGAAACTAGTAAATAATGTAAGATTTTGGTAAAAGATGGCCCATATGATGTTTTTAAACAACAAATCCTGAAAACGCTGATTCTTAATGTACTTTGTAAATTGTAACGAAAACAAACAATGATTTTACGGAATCCTAACAGAGCGAGGCCAGACTCGGGCTTGGCTAGTTTCTTAAGACAGTTGGTTGGTAAGAGACATATGTATTTGCGTAATCTCTATCTTTCATAGTAAACAAATTGATTTATATTTTAACTGTAATTTTAAACAATACATATTATGGTACACTCAAGGCCACAACAGTGGATACACACGCTAAACGAATATTGCTGTTATTGATGCGGCAATAAGAATGCTGTTAGCTACCCATGGGCCTTGTGGTTGTATGAAGGAAGTATATATATATATAAATTCAGTTAAAGAAGATAATTTTTGTCGGAAACGTATTTAAGTGATTTACGTATATTCACTGCTTTTGATAGTAAAAAGCAATGTGATGAGATGCCTATAAATAGATTAGATAGACTATAATTGACGTCTAAAAAAGAGACGGACGCACGAAGAGGGACGGAAAAAACGTATCAAGGAAACTGCATAATTTATAAAATTTTCATTTATAATAAAAGCTGCTTAATATTGTGAATCAAAATTTTACAAGTTCTTAAGTTTTTGGGTCGGTTTAACTTTCAAGTCGTCTGCGCAGAACATTGAAATATATAGCCTTAGAACTTGTAGAAATTTTAAAAAAACATTGTAATTTTTGAATCTTTGTTCTTTTGTTCTACGTTATTATATAAGTAGACGCATAAATACCTATTAAAAATATATTTTCAATCTAAAAGCTTGTTGGGTGATTCTGTGTAAATTCCTTGTAAGAAAAAAAGTGGTTGTCAATAGACGGAAAAATTTGTCACAGTCTAATGTCACGGTACCCAGGTTGCTGATACTTCTAGGCCGATTTACAATAGAGGTCGTTGTTTTACGTTTAAAGCACCTCGCCAACGAGTTTTTGTTCTTTTTATTTATAAAATAGGCATAGCATATTAATGATACTTAGCTCCGCTAAACTAATTTATTTATATTGATCAACCTCAGTGAATACTGCACTTTTTTATGTTAAATGGGTGGCAAACAAACATATTGGACGCTTGATGGTAAGCGCCGAACATAACCAATAGACGCTTGCAATAAAAAAAAATTACTCGTGCCGTTGCCTACCCTGACCCAATCCCCTACCTCGTGGAGCCCTGAAACCTTACTCACCGACAGGAACACAAGACCACCAAAAGGTAGTGTTATTTTACTGTGGTCTTCTCTTAAGTAGAGGTTACTTCCCCATACAGGCGTTCTAATTCAAGCGGAAACCTCGCTGCATGCTGTACCTCTCTTCATTATTTTCTCTTTTCATATACTTACAATTTTCTTTTGTCACACCATGGTTTTTCGTTGGGTGTTCATTATTTCTGTTAGACTTAATAACAATGGTGATATTTACAAGTTTCGCTTTAATAATTTTATTCGTCGAGTTGATATAGAATTATACTTTCCAGGTATGGTTTCGTGGCGTGAGAAGTTCAAAGTTCCGCCATGTTTACGGCGTGCCATTCAAAAAAGAACGTTGTTACGACAACATAAAGATCACTCGGAATGCCCATGACTCGAATTTCTGTGCTGTGAATCCAAAGTTTGTGGCCATCGTCACCGAGGTAGCTGGAGGAGGCGCATTCCTTGTTTTACCATTGGACCATGTAAGTACCAAATATACATTTAAAATGATAATGATTAATGACATTTAAAACATGGAAATAGAAATTGTTACTCACATTAAAACTTGCTTATTTCGTTTACACGACATGCACTAGGCTTAATTAGATATAAATAGAATTTGCTCAATGAACTGCCATATGATCTTCTTAAAAATATATTATCCAAAAATCATTTAAAGAGTACACTGCGCAAGCATTACCTATCGTTGTGTCCATAAAGAGAGGGAAAACCTTAATAGTCCAGTCAGTATTGTCGCGAAATCCGTTTTTCCTCAAACAGCTGGAACTATGCTAAAAAGTTTCTTAAGATAGTAAAGAACACTTTACATAGAGAAAAAAATGTTTCCAACCCCGGGCAAGGGTGAAAACCACCCTTAATAATCTATTTTTCCAATTATCTCAAAAAGTATACGAGATACGGAAAAAAACTTCAAATGAAAATTGTAGATCTTTTTGAAATCTACAAAACATTATTCCACCCTCTTGCCCCTATTTTCAATAGGGGAGCCAATAATCGAAGTCAAAGATTCAATACTTAAAAAGTTAAAGTTAGTTAAAAAAGTTATCTTTGACTTCGATTATTGGCTCCCCTATTGAAAATAGGGGCAAGAGGGTGGAATAATGTTTTGTAGATTTCAAAAAGATCTACAATTTTCATTTGAAGTTTTTTTCCGTATCTCGTATACTTTTTGAGATAATTGGAAAAATAGATTATTAAGGGTGGTTTTCACCCTTGCCCGGGGTTGGAAACATTTTTTTCTCTATGTAAAGTGTTCTTTACTATCTTAAGAAACTTTTTAGCATAGTTCCAGCTGTTTGAGGAAAAACGGATTTCGCGACAATACTGACTGGACTATAAGTGGTAGGTTAGTTAAAGCTGGGTTGTTTATTAAACGAGTATTTATAATGTTAAATTACAAAAATCAAAAACGGTATACATAACTAGATATTTGTGTGTTAATAGATTACTGATAAAATCTGCAAGTTTTGGTGTAAGTCATCATTCATATCATAGCGTATGCCTGTACTAGTTATGTACCTAACTTATGTATAATTATGTGTGCGCGTGGGTGTGTAAATGTTTTTAAGAGGTAAACTATTTAAAAAAGTTTAATAGAATATTTTGGATTGTTATTGTTTTAAAAAAAAGGGAAAGTATCTTACTGTGTGTGCGCGCGTGTGTATGTAAGTTATGTGTGCCTGTGTGTATGTGCATGTGTTTTTGTTTTTTATTTCTTTGTTGAACTAGATAGGTTTTTATACATATATTATAACGAGAGCTGCTGCCGACAAACTGTTACACAGTTTGGCAGATGTATACATAGTGTTTACATGTGTAATAATGAGGAAAATAAATTAAAAAAAAAAAAAAGATACCATTCTGTCAGTCGTAGAATTGATAATTGTTGTTCTAATATAAAATGAAAGTTTTGTTTTTATCAGCCTTATGTTTGGAGCCCAAAAGTTGGTGGTATTCCACTTTGTTGCATGGTTTGTACGGGCGAAAATAATTTACGTTAAATCTCCATAGTATGATTAAAGCTATTGTTACTGTTTTTGGGATCGAGCTGAAACTATTATCTTATTCATAAACTAACAGTGTGCCAACTGTGCCTCTTAAAGTTAATCCACATGCATGCATCACCGTGTCGTGTGTAATTGTGACTTTTTTTATCTCTGTTACTTTATGCTCCGATTCAATGGAGAATTGCGTCTTCACACTCATCAGTCTTATTAATTGAGACGCTTGTATGGCTAATAAATGATTTTCACATTACGATAAGTCAGCACAAGATCAAACGGAGGTGATAATAAATCTTTATTAATTATTTATGCCAAGGTATTTTCTAGTAACTGTATACGCCTTCCTTTTTGACACGTTAGATTATCATATTTTTTGGATAAATATTCATTTTCGGTGCGAAGGACGTAGGGGGTTGTTCCTTTTTTATACCGACAATGATTTAATCGTCCTCTCAAAAACTTATATAGTCGTCCTCAATAAAATGTTTATGTTTTTGACAATTATCTATTTAAGATAATTGACATTGTGTCTATTAAAGGCGACACATGGCATATAATAATCATAATGTTTAAATAACCAAAATATTTTATTTAACTGTAAGACAAAATTTACCACTCTTGTCACAGCATTTCTTTTAATATTGATTTATATTTTGAAGATGTTACTAAAATCATTGACCGAACGCACCAATTACCGCATCATATCGAGTTTCTCATCCTCGATACGAGGAATTATAATCAAAACAGAAATATAGATAATGGACTGTTAATTATGATCATAACATTTCTAAGAATTATAAAATATCAGTTCTGGTAGATATTTAAACTTCACAAAGTAAAAAGAAATAAAGAAGCTTTGATTGGTTACAGTTTCTCTTCCTCTGACAAACAAACAGACGAAGAACTTGCTATTGACCTGCACCCATGAATAACATGTGACAACAAGTGGTGTTTGTAGCGAACAATGAAGCGTATTCCATATTAATTTCGTACGTAATGTCTACCATAAATTTATTCACTCCGAATTAATGCAGTCCCAACACGAGAACCGCCGATAAAATCGAAACGTTTGATAAATAAAACTGTGAGAAATCAAATGTATAATATATTTTATTAAGTCAGTGCAATAGTGTCATTGTTAAAAGTAAAACTTTGGTGCGGTTACAAAACAGAACACAAAAATTACAGGTGCGACGTTCTACGACAGCTGCTTCTCTCGTATCTGATTCTTGATTGCGGCATAAGTATAATGTCTTAAGTGCAGAATTGCTGCAACTGACATGTTTAATTATTTAGACATTTCTTATCTTGGTCTGTTTCTTCGTTAAGTCACTACAGTTTTCAGTTGCAAATTCCAACACGAGTATTGTGACAATACAATTGACATAATATGTTGTTTTCATTATAATATCAGTTATTATTTGTGAATTTGAAATCGTATAGGAGGTATAGTCTATCAAACGACCGTGTATCTCATGTAGCCAGAAAGCGATTTGTTTAGAAGTCCCCTAGTTCACTTAATTAATGAAATCCGTTGGACACTCCACTGCTATTCATGGACCTATTCAATTTGGTTGATATTACACAATAAGCACACACTGGTTTTACGACTATAAGACAATACTGTAACATATCGTATTATATATATTGCTTTGAATACAGAAAACTTTATTGTTTTCATTTGATCTCAGGAAACTTTGTTCTTTTCATAAAAATAATACAGGTAATTAATTGTCCACCATTTCCGTTTCATAAATGCAAAAAATAATTTACGCTTGCAGCTTATTTACATTATGGTGTGTTTAGTTTTAAATATACTATTAACAAAAATTAACGTTTTTATTTCGAAAGAATAAAATATAGAAATAGATTAATTAATAAAGAATTGTAACATAGAGAGAATAACGAGAAAGTCTTTATAACGGGAAATAAACGGATTCACGCGTTCACGAGAATGACGAATTACTTATTAGCCTTACACTGCACCACCCATATACCTCGTAATTCTACCTTACTACCTATCATAGGGTCAAACCTCTATAATATATATCGATTGTATATGTGCAGAGTGCAGACCAACTAATTAGTCATAATATGGAAGTATTACTTCCTAACAAAGACCGCTAAAACCGGGGTCCAAACTCATATATCTGAACTTCAATACTAACACGACACGCACCCAAAAAAATACTTTGCCAAATCAAATATCTGTCAATCAGTTCGGCTATTTATTTATCTATCCATTCATTTGGGTAAGATAATGTTAAAAATTATAAACAGTCCCATGATCGACTGCGTGGAAGTATGAAAATCTTATAATTTCTTTTTGTTTCCAGACTGGCCGGCTAGATTTCAACGCGAGCCGTGTGACCGGCCACAAAGGCCCAGTGCTGGACATCAAGTGGAACCCCTTCAACGATAACATCATCGCGTCGTGTTCCGATGACTGCACGGTAATTTCGTTTGAGCTTATTATCTTTTTTTCCTTTATTACGCTTACAGTTTTTTTTGTCGGACGCGCGATTTGCACGCGGATATTGCTACCCATTACGCGAGGATGTTACATCTGACCGATTCCAAGGTTTTCATTAATAATATGAAAGTGCGGTTGATCTCATTGAGCATTAGCACTTTATCTTTTACAATGACTATATCGATTTTCTTATCATATAAAGCAATGATACCTGTTGTTCAAATTAACTAACACGTAAATTATTCTACTGCGTCATTCGAGTTTATTGTGGTTGATTGTCTGTATTGACTGTCGATTCATTTAAATAGACAAATAATAATGACGTTGATTTATGTCACTATTTTGTCAATGCTTTGAGACAAAAGAATCGTAATATTTAACTAGTACTATACGTTTGAATATGCATATGAATGGTATATTTAATAAGATAAAGTTGGGTATTACATATTTAAAGTACGTTTTATTCATAATCTACACATCTAAACAGATCCGACACATTGATGTTCGCTCACTCAAAACGAAAAGGTTTTGTGCAACCTCAATCGCTATAAGTGCTCCCACACATATCCGCGAATTCGCATCGCATCACAAATATCTGCTAGCTCGCAACGAATTCTTCCGATCTGATTCGCACCGTACATTTCTGAGATATTACGTCACACTTGGTGACACTATTTTAGTCCGCTCTGAGACTTCCCTTGTACGATCGTTTTTGTAGAAATGGTGATAATTAACTCAAAAGCTCTTGAAATGAAGATATACTCATTCTAAAATAATACAGAAAAGATTATCTTCTTCTGGTCTCAAACCATAGTATGTATTTTCGAGTAAAATACTTCCCATCAGCGTTCATAATCATAATAAATTGATTAACCCAAAACCTTATTTTTCTTCTACATCTATTTAACAATTACTAATTTTATGTCACTTTTACTAATACACGTCCAATACTGCCGTATTGTACTTACTATCGTTAAAGGTATGGTCACCTCAACCAAAACTTTGGCGCACGGATTCGCATCGCAGTTATATATGGGAGCCCTAAATGTGGGTGCTTTAGATTGTGGATGAAAGCACATCTATTTCGATTGCCAATATCGTTGATTACCAACATATTGTTAAAATCAGAAGTTGTCTAGGACTTCAATTGGGGAAAAAAAATTACAGAATTGAACACCGAGTGCTGTTTTCAAATTTTTTTTAAAGGCATTCAAAAAGTGCCGTCTATTGGGGAACATATTTTCCGTACTTGCTAAATAAAAAACGACAACCTTATTTCAAAATTCGTCATAGGCACAACATCCTAAAACAAGAAACTACATATGAAATTATTTTTCCAAAGGTCAAACTATGGCACATCCCGGACGGTGGTCTATCGATGCACCTGACTGACTGGCTGGTAGAACTGCAAGGTCACAAACGCAGAGTGGCTTACATAGAATGGCACCCTGTCGCCGAGAACATTCTCTTCAGCGCTGGCTTCGACTATCTGGTAAGTAAGCAAAAGCGCCAGTGTTTCTTATATTTTCTATAATGGTTGGTACAAATGAAAGGGTATTGGACATTGCGGTTGGAGATGGAGGGGGGTCTAGAGGGAGACTCTAGACTGCACCGACAAGAGCATAGCTCTTAAATTTGGAGACAGGTTATACCTACATAAAGTTTTTTTTAGATAAATTAAATAAAACTTTCATACTGGCATACATCCAGACCTAAGCAAAGATAATGAACTGTATGTAGCTTTAATCGATTTCAATCATTCCGGTAGGCAACCAAAGTGGACCAATCGGTCGATGAAAGATCAATGAAACGAGTAACCTATCTTTAGTACAACCAACCAAGGTACAATTTACGAGTAGTAGAAAATCTATAACATTTGCACTGCAAATAGAATAAGGTCAGTGTTGATGGACATGGGACCAACCAAAGTGTGGTGATTCAATACTCATGTCAATGCCCGCTAGATATCAATAACTAAACAAAATAATGTTTGCCCAAAACAGATTACAGGCTGCCTGGAGTCTCCTTAGTTCACATGTCGAAAACCAAGACGTTGCAATGTTTACTCACAGATAAAGCAAAATGCAACACTAGTGTCACGTAGTTCTCATAAAACTAACGTATTTAATAATGGACTACTTAGAATAAACCTTAATAGCTACTACATATCATAAATAAAAGTTTTACAAGTCTTTGGAACTGTGAGGTTTTGCACTACTAAAGTATAACCGTGATGTGTAACAATATTGAGAAAAATGCCTGTTTTTTGACAACATAAAAATACGGATTTTCGGCATACCATAATATATGAGAGGTTCAAGTTCTTACTTACTCGTACGTTACGTGCTTTATGAATACTAAGAAGCGCCCCTACCGGACGTAAAAACAAAAGGCTCCTTCCATACAAAATTTGACGATGACGATAGGATTACGGAGAGCCGTCATAATTCGTGCTTGAGCCTCTGTAGTAATCAAAACGCATCAAACTGTGTAATTTGATGTCACCGTTTGCGTTTAGTTACGCGTTACCCAAATATGCATCATGGTTAGCGGTGGGCGTTAGGGCTTTCAAATACCGGATTTTTTCGATACCGGTATCAATACCGGTATTAGCATGTTCAATACCGTGATCACGGGATCACGGTATTGAATATGAACTTCAAATCAAAGAATATTAAAACGCCCGTTTTATTTCTAATCAGTGTTTATTTCTGTTACATAGGTACCTACATGAAAAACAGGCTAACAAAATATTAAATAAACATTATTTTTTCTACCCTTCCCGGGTAGTCTTTTATTAATAAATAGTTCGGCGGAACTAAGAAATTGAGATCCATATTTTTTTATTAAACAAAAGATATACTATTAAAATAAAGAAAAAAATACAACAAAAATGCCGTCCCAATAATTAAAATTCGCATGGCAAACAACATTAAAAAAAAATAGGTAAATTACTTAACAATCATCTATTCATTTACTTTGTACTATTTATATATTTACTAATCAAAAAATACTAAATAACAATATTCAAAAGAATCGAAAATGAAACGATAAATATAATCAATATCATCTTAAGATTAAGTGTGATCTTAAAAAGGACAGAGTGTTTAATGGTTTATCAGATAGCGAACTTCTCAATTTGTTGCATAAATAGCTGACCGAAGAAAAAGCTCGCTCAGCTTCTACACTTGTAGGTACTACAGATAGTAAATATTTGTAAGCTGCAGATAAAAATATTTCTCGACCGCCCCCACTGGTTTCGAAGACACACACTCTTATTATTGATTCAAAATCAGTGCCTGTAGTTGCAGTTGTACTTTTAGGTAATTTGGATATTTCCCTCTCCAACTGTTTCTGGGTGGACGCATCGTCATCTTCAACACTTGTATTTAACGATGACGATGAAGTAGAAGGTTCTTCTGTAGCAACACTAGCAACCATCTCAATAACTGCTGCGGTATTCAGTTGTTTATTTTGTATTTCAAACGAGTCAGTAAATTAACGATAATTTTAAGCAATTCATCAGATGTTAGTTTTTTGAAAATGTCATCTTCGCTATCATTAGCACTTAAATAAGCTTCAGGGTCATGCAAGTATTGTAACACTCCAGATATATGGAGAAACGTCGCTCTTTTATACGTTTTCGAAGTGCCTTTGCAAGGTTTTGGCTCATCTCATTAGCCTGTCCATCTAATTTTGTTAACATAAATTTTAAAGCAATATCAGCTTTTAATATATAATTAATAAGTATTATATGGTGAAAACCTTATATTATGTAATTATTCCGTTTTGTGCGCCAGCTCCTCAGTTTATCTCACTCGCGTTCATGCTTAACATTTCGTCTTTCTATTCATATAACCCTAATAAAGAATTGTTGATTTGTAATACCGTAAAATCACGGTATTGACTGATCAATACCGGTATTGAAAAATACCAATAAAAAAACCGTGATTACGGTATTACGGGATCCCGGAATACCGGTATTGAAAGCCCTAGTGGGCGTTTAAACGAAAAGCGCTTAAATAAGCGCGCTTAAAATATTAAGCTTGTAAGCACGCTTTTAAGTATAAGCGTTATAATCTCTTCACTTAAAAAGTGTAAGCTTTTCACTTAAAAAAATGCAAGTAATTTTTTACTTAAAAAGTGCAAATCCCGCCATCTATGTCTTTGCCAGGAAACTACATACTTCGATCCTTCTAGTCCACTACAGTATCGAAAAATGGGTACGCGGAATTCCTTGGAACTAAATATTTCACAATATCACAGACATAGAACGCGCGACTACAGCGCCGCGTCGGCGTGCCATCTTTCGTGAGCCGGTTAATACAGCATGCGAAATATTATAATGCGACGTAAAAAAAATGCACTATTTTAAAATTTGGTCGGATAACCAACGCTTTTTTCGTTAAAAGCGTTTAATTAAACGAAGTCGAAACTCGAAAAGCAGTACGCTTGTCACTGTGACGGGGTAAGAGCGCGTGGGTGTTGTACGGTGTGTTTGCATGCTTGCTTGTGTTAATGCGTTTCGTGTATTGGTTTAATGTGCAAATAAAATAGTTAAAAGTATGTATATAAAATCAATGAACTTTTAAGTACGCCTGGCTTGTAAAGTACGAAGGAAAGTTCATTGACTATTATAAAAATGTTTATTATAAAATCTAAATTCAATTGAAAATCTTTCGTTTTTAATGCCAATCAATTCATTAGGTTTAAAAAAACTTTTTAATAAAAATTTCATTAATAAGAAGAAAAAACGCAATAAAACACTTTAACACATTAAAAACGACAATAAACTTTTCACGCTTTTTTAAACGATATACCTAAACGAAAACACAACACAACGTCGCGCTTTTTACGCATGCTCTTAAACGTTTAAGCCAATAAGCGTTTAAACGAAAAAGCTTTTTTCCAAGCGCGCTTATTTTAAAAAGTACAACGTTTAAACGCTATTAAGAAATAAGCCGTTTTTTCCATCTCTAATCATGGTCGCGACCTTTGAAAAGTACATTTTATCGACTCAATTAATAAACATCGTTATAGTCACAACACCTCATTCAATAAAACGCCTTTTAATTAATTGTAATTTTGATAAATTGTGTTTACATTTAAAACGAAGGCCATAACATTGTTGACCGTTTTACAAATAAATAGCGACCCGCCTTCACTTCGCTTAGGTGTAGATAGAGTATAGTTTTTGCTCTCGGGCTTTTATTATACATATTCCAAAAAAAAAACTAATGCCTGCTCACCACATTTCTATTCGTGTTTTCTATTTGTTATTTTGTCTTGCTCTATAGAGCCTTCCCTATAGGGAATGGAAAGTCTTTTTTCTTAATGCATAATAGGCAAGGCGTTTGACCACAATCTCGCCTGATGGAAAGCGATGATGAGGCCTAGGATGGTACACGCCTGCCTAGAAGATGCCTGTTCACTCTGGCCTTGAAGATGTCCAGATTATATTAGTCCGGGAAAACCGACCTCGGCAAGGAGTTCCACTCCCTAGCCGTTCGAATAATGAAAGCAGAAACAAAATACTGTTAAATAGCAAATACGAATAGCCATGTGAAGTGCCAGCATAACTGCTACTGAAAACCGCATCAAAATATTGTGTGATTTGAAAATTCAAAAGGAGTTAGCAGATGTATAGATTCAGTCACTCAAAACTGTCAAATTTATCCAAATGACTGAGCTTTATATTGATCGTCATACGATTTACAATCTATTGAGAAAATATGAGAGTCTGAGATACAATGTACACGAGGAGTTCAATGGCCCAAGTGCTCAGTGCGTTCGGCTGCGATCGTTAAAGTTAAGCAACTTTCGCAGAGCCATTGGATGGATGACCAAAAATTTACTATCACGAGCTCTTCCGTGCTTCGGAAGGCACGTTAAGCCGTTGGTACCGGCTGCAACTGCAATCGTCAGCGCCCACCAATCCGCACTGGGTTCGCGTGGTGGGTCATAGCCCAATCTCCCTATTACATCCCTAGGGTAGGCCTATGCCCCAGCAGTGGGAGCATTAATAGGCTGTTGATGATAAGGTAACTGGATGTGGAACTGTCTGCAAAGACGCAGAAAAGGTCTTTGTTATATACTACCTATAGACAAAGCAATGAAAGTGTTTTGTTATTTACATAGTTTATCGTGCCTGCCTGACCTCTATATCCGTATAGGAATATTTTAATCTGCAAGTGTGTACATTGTAATCCCAATAGTTGTTTATGTTAACATAAATTATACATTGAACTTGGTACCAAATTACTTGATTCAATAGTTCCAATAGTTTTTTTACTGAAGCCTTTCTTTTCTCGTCGGGAAAATGCATTACGCATCCTTCGCCAACCGGGGCAGACAAACGAAGGGATCAGCGGACTACTCCCTACCCAGTATAACCCAGACAATAAATAATTAAAGCCCCCCTAAATGCCCTGGAGTATTAGGGGCATCTGCATCATATATCATATTGAATGACAAATGGCATTTGAGTGATATGAACGAAACACGGCGTAACTAGTCTAAGCTCATTCTTCGTTTATTAAGAGCCCTTTCACATTTTTTGCAAAAAATCGTAATTTTTCGGCGCCTTATTTACCCCCTTAGTAATGATTTTGACTATTTCCAATAGAAGTAAACAGAAGATTTATTCTTCCTATTGTAAGGTAATGTAGAATATTTGCAAAATACTATTTTATTTTTTTGTGCTGATCGTTCTACCGCAGCTAGTTTACGGAAAAAACGATAATGAACAACTTCAAACGCCTGAATCACTAAATAATGTTCAATAAATTAGATCGAATTAATACTGCGACATCAGAAATATGTTTTTGTTGTAAGATAATGTATAAAATTTTTGATTTTCCATGTCATTAACTATAAAACAAAACATCTAACCTTCGTGAGTTTTCCCAAAAAATAATGCAGGTTTACCTCGTATTTTGATATTGAATTAAATAGAATTACTATCAAAACCTTTCATAAAACTAATTTACCATCATTGAACTACTGAAATATGTATATATTTTTGTAATTAGTTTATTAATAATTATTTTATAAGACTCGAAACATCACCCGTAAAATGCAATATATATATATAGTGCAAATCTACCTACGCGCCGATTTTGTAAAAGGGCTCTTAATAAGAGGGTAGAAGTTTGATCACACCACATAATTAAGCAATAGCTACATTGTGCGAGCTATGAAATTATACAATTCTAAATAAAGTCACATTGATATATTTAATCTTAATTCTTTGAAATTCAGAAAACTAATTTGTAACTCGTTTTAGGTACAACATTTTTATTTTGTTTATCTCTTATCTATTAGACAAGTCCGTCCGTCCGTCCGTCTGTGGTGCTGTTTCAGCGGCCAAACCGTAAGAGATAGATAAAGAGAATGTTTAAGTTATAAGTTAAGAATAGTCTGATAAGACTACAAACCGGATTTGAGTAACGTAGCACTTCCGGTTTTCGAGAAATCACGAATTTCAAACGAAACCACACAAAATCTCCGAAGTTCTCAATTAATTATTATTTTTTTGTTTTTTTTTAAATCAGGTTTTGGTGAACATTTGGTTCACTGGTTTGCTAGTGTTCATTATAATGTAAAAATTGTTTTCTTTTCTCATATTTATTAGACACTATGTGAGATAAAAAATAGTGGAAATTATCCAGGTAATTTTTAAAACTTAATGTTATATTTTTATGTATAAATTAATGCTGTTATTTCCCTAAAATAAATAAAATGTCGGACTTTGTTTATATAAAATGTTTGTTCATTGCAGATATTCGTGTGGGACGTAGGCAAAGGCGAAGCGATGCAAGTGATAGATTGCCACACCGATGTGATCTACTGCATGTCGTTCAATCGCGACGGGTCATTGCTGGCGACCACGAGCAAGGATAAGAAGCTGCGCATCATAGAGCCAAGACGGGGCATTGTTCTATCAGTAAGTCGGCTGTTTTATGGGCAACTTTAATGGAGGGCTTGTTTAGATGTGATCATCATCAGCCTATCAATGTCCCCACTGTTGGGGCACAAGCCTTCCCTACTACCGCTAGCTACCGCGGCCCTGACGACCGCGTCGAAATTCTTCTAGCCATTCTTAAACTGCAAGGCAGCGCCGTCAAGCAATTATATGCTTAAAAAATATAGCTTTTCCTTTTTTTATACAGGAAGCGCCATGCCATCTAGGCACCAAAGCGTCCAAGTGTACATTCCTCGGCAGTCGCGGCAAAGTGTTGACGACCGGATTCTCGCGATATAGCGACCGCCAGTACGCAGTATGGGACCAACATGAATTAGACAAACCACTCGTCTGTGAAACCATAGACAGCTCCTCTGGCGTCGTGTTTCCGTACTTCGACTATGACACCAATATGGTAAGATCATAGACATAAGAATCAACTAAGTAGAGGCAAAGTGTTGACGGCCGGATTTTCGCGGTATAGCGACCGCCAGTACGCAGTATGGGACCAACACGAATTAGACAAACCACTCGTCTGCGAAACCATAGACAGCTCCTCTGGCGTCGTGTTTCCGCACTTCGACTATGACATCAATATGGTTAGACCATAGACATAAGAATGAACTAACCTACACAAACTAGACAAACCACTCGTCTGCGAAACCATAGGCAGGACCTCTGGCGTCGTATTCCCGTATAAAAATAATTATGATTATTATTAACCCTTATGATTAATCCTTTCGATGGTTATCTTTTTTTTTCGAAATTTCACGAGTTCGATTCCCAGTTATACAGGCGATTTTAAAAAAATCTGTGAATGCATTTCTAGTTATTATTAAAAATAAAACGATGTCTTCTTTCAGTAAAATATTGAATATACTTTCACTCCGTTTGAGGTAGCCGTGGGACGCCCTGTATATGTAGAACAAGTAGTCCTGGGTAAGTCCAATTTCGTGAAATTTCCTCCTAATTCAACTCGACTGGATAGCGTTCGGGAAACTTCGCGATGTCTCCTCGTCCGAAATACCACAGCGCCTTAAGACTAAGGTCTTCGAACAGTGCGTGTTGCCAGTGATGACATACGGAGCTGAGACGTGGTCGTGGACAAAGGGCCTCGCAAGAAGGCTCGGAGTCGCACAGCGAGCGATGGAGAGAGCTATGCTCGATGTTTCTCTACGTGATCGAATTAGGAATGAAGAAATCCTCCCTTCCCTAAAATATGGTTGAGCGAAGCGATGGCTGGTTCATGCGTCATGCTTGTGAACGGATGCTGCCAGCGGAGATGAGTCTGCCCTAACTACTTTGATGTTTAAGATGTAAATGTCTAGTTATACCTAATATAAATAAGACTATTTGTATTTATACTATATGACACAGTAATCAAAATGCAGGTAAACAATTAATTTATAATTTCACATTATGTATTGAAACGTGACTTCATGAATAATCTCTAAAGTAATTTTTCAACTAGACAACTCTGTAAATAATAAAACTTGGAGAAAAAAACAGCCCTTGCTGAGTTTCTTTCCGGTTCTGCTTAGTGCAAGGCTGTAGATTTACGAATCGATGGCGTAGATTTTAGACATTCATGAGTGCTTGTAACAGCCTAAACCGAATAAATGATTTTGATTATGATTATTATGTTCGGCGAAGCAATGGACTTTAGGGTCCTAAGGTGTTTCAATGGCGAACTCGCACCTGGAAGCGCAGTGTCGGTAGACTCCTTACCAGGTGGACTGACAACATCAAGCGTGACGGGGGGGGGGGGGGTCAACTAGATGCGGAAGGCTCAGGATCGTTGTGTCTGGAGATCCGTAGAGGAGGTCTATATCCAGCAGTGGACGTCCACCGGCTGATTATAATGAAGTTCCATTTGAAATGCCGTCATATCTTTGCTTCAATGGTGATATTTTTGAATTGTTCCCAGGTGTTTCTCGCTGGGAAGGGTGACGGTAATATCAGGTACTACGAAGTTGTGGACGAACCGCCGTACGTGCATTTCCTCAATCAATTCCTATCAGGCAATCCGCAGGTAAGTTATTATTACTGACATAAATTATACGATTAAGCAGTTTTACGACCTCAAGCAGACTTGATGTTCCATAGTAATAGAAAAGGCAGCATATACAAACACATAGAAAAGTGTAAACTATTAAATTTTATTGACGTCTCTGAATGCGACTGGACAAAAAAGCGCATATATTTTTAAAATATACCTATTTCGCGGTATGATATTTATGAGTAACAATTACATTGGTTATCATTTTTTGTCAAATGATAAGTTATATAGAACTAGTGGGTTCCCGTGCCTACGTCTGCGTGGAAAAAAATTTTTCCAATACAAACTTCCATCCCCATTTTCACCGTCTTAAAGGATGATTCCTGAGAAATCTATCTCATGTCCTGAAGCGGAACTCAAACTATCTCTATACACAATTTCATATAATTCGGTTTAGCGGTTTAAGCGTGAAGAGGTAAGAGACAGACACACTTTCGTATTTATAATATTAGTATGGAAACCAGTGTGCCAGGGCCATGAAACAATCAATTAAACTTTTATGTTTCTTTGATACTATTTACATACACATGAAATGTTTACAGAATGCGTGTTACTGATGTAGCTGCTACCACATCACATGAAGCGCATTTTTTGGACTTGTTACTCGATATAGTTTAAAATATTCACTCTGCTACGGAAATTACCTTATATTTTTTTAATAGGTAGGTATGCAAATCACCCTCCCCCACCTGATGTTAAGTGGTGATAAAGTCCAGACGCGAAGATAGCTGGTACACCAGTTATAAACTGCCACACCACCTCACCTTGCCGGCCTGCAGAAATGCTTCTACATGCCTCTCTTAAAGGACCCCAGATTGTAGGTAGTGTGACCGATCTCCAGGGAAAATACTTGCTAATGATTAATACGACATTGTCTTCAGTATGACCGTGTATTTAGCACATTTACAATATTAAATTAGGTAAAAAGAGAAAGCTATAACCGATTCCTTTTACATATTTTTGACAAGTCCGACATTATTAAGACAGTGTTGTCAGACTAAGATCTTAAAAGCTACGTTCCGTGACAGGTAAGATTTTAGGTACACGTGCGCGGGCAAAGAATTCCACTTGCGAATACAATATAAAGAAATGAGTCACATAATGTCTTTGTTAGCAATAATCTTGTTATTACTTACAGCGAGGTCTCGGATTCATGCCCAAACGCGGGCTTAACACTAGCGCGTGCGAAGTGTTCCGCTTCTACAAGCTGCATACATCGCGCGGCCTGTGCGAACCCATCTCTATGATCGTGCCGCGCAAATCTGATTGCTTCCAGGTAAAAGTAATAATATTTATTATTATAATTTGTCATCATTAGCATCACCCTACTAATGTCGGCACTGCTGGGGTACAGGCCTTCCCTTTAGATAGATGGATATAATATAGAGATATTTTTGATAGGTGGAGATAATAGAGAGAATGTGCCATGATTAACACGCGTCCTATTATAAATAAATAAATATTTCCGACACTCACACCAATTAGCCTAGCCCCAAAGTAAGCACTATAAGGCTTGTGTTATGGGACGCTAGGGTAACGGATAGAATACATATACTGTACATATATAAGTATATTAATATAAATACATATTAAACATCCATGACTGGAGTACAAATGCTCGTATTCATCACACAAACATCTGCCCCCACCGGGATTCGAACCCGGGACCTCTCGAGTCGGCGACAGCCATGAAACCCGGCGTACAAACCACTCGGCCACGGAGGTCGTCCAATGGATTGTATGATTGATTGTACTATTATGGATTTGTATGGTCTAACGACTGCAGGCACAGCCTGGACCAACGACTTAACTTGCCTTCTTATTATTATGATTATTATCGCAAATTAAACTCGCTAGTCACTGCGCTATAATATAATATAAATATATATAATCCCTCAAATAATAAATAGTGATGCAACGGAATTGAGTGATTGAGTCAATAGAATATTTGACAGAGGTAAAAAAAGTACTTATTGGTAATTTTCCAAAAAACCGCGAAAAAGAAAATAGATTTTTTATATCCATTGTCACGTGATAAAAATGTCTGGGATTGAAGGATCCTCAAATAACGTCACACATAGGTAAACTTCGCCATATTACCCAGAGAAACGTTTCAGCGGCATAACCGAAAGCAGTATTTTTAATTTTGTTTTTTTACTGAAATACTCAACAGGATGACGATTAACCACTTTTTGGAATCTTTAAACACTAATAAATATTGTAAGATCGCTTTCAAAAAGTTGTTAAATACACTATTTTAGCACCCACCAAGAAAAGTCCACAGTGAAAACCTCACGCAAGACCACTGACACGTCCTTTTGGTGATGTTATATCTCTGTCAACCTGCATCTACATTTGTCTCGCGAGCATTCGACCGAGACTGTTTTAGAAACCTCATCAAAAGGTGCTGTCGCCAGCTGAAGCGAAATTTGAATAATAGAGTTTATGAATAATCTGGCGAAACGCATACGCTATAGTGGTTCATACTCGTAGGTTTAAGTTAACTAGTCTAGCTAGCCATCACGGTCTGTTCCAGTTAGATTGAGTGCCGCACGCGCTACTTGCAGTTTACTTAAAATTATTCATTTGTTTAAAAGGATTACACTTAAAAGGAGATTTTAACCCTATTAGGTTATAATTTATAGAAACAAAATTATTCCTAGTTTGGTTCACACGCGGCAGCCACCCGCAATTTATTATTCTGTCGTGGTACGGGGTAGGAAATGGGATCAAGGTAGTCAATAGGGATGATGACCGGGTAAAGTAAACGAAATTTTATGAAATCCGTCAGATTTAACAAAAATGGACACATATTTTTTCATTTGTCAATAAACCAAAAATTTACTAAGATAAGGTCATTGTCGAAGTTACTTACACATCTGTCGTCCATTCAGCCGTCTCTACTTAACTGGGGTGCACCAAATCCCTTACACACTAAAACCTGTTATATTCGTCTTCACTGTTAACTAAAGTGCCAACCTTTATAACTCTATGGATTATGGTGTATGTTTTTTATCCATAATGTTGTATTTTAGGAGGATTTATATCCCGATACGGCTGCGCCTCTGCCCGCGCTCTCCGCCAAGGACTGGCTCAACGGCATGAACGCGCTGCCTCTCCTGATCAGCATGAGGACCGGTGAGCCATCTGTCTATACAAATACACAGTCAGGTCATAAGTATTGTCACACAGTAAAAACTTTTCTTTTAGAATGCTGGCCACAAAAAAGTTTATTGAATTCGAATTGTTCATGAAAATAAAAATGTATACTTTTTAGAATTTTTTAGCATTTTTAAATATGGAGTGGACGCTTAAAGGAGACCGTGTTGCAGTTATTGCGTTGCATCGTTGCGGTTACGCGCCACTTCAAAATTTTGACATACTGAAAATTTTGAATATAACCAAAAGATTCGTTTATCGTAACATCAAACGATACAATGAAGATTCTAGTGTAGATGACAGGTCAAGAAGTGGTCGCCCTCGGTCTGTTAGGACTCCAGCAGTGATAAAAGCTGTGAAGGCGCGAATTCAAAGAAATCTCAAACGTAAGCAGACTCTGTTGGCCCTTCAGATGGGGTTAAGGTTCCTGGTTCTGCCACAGTGAAAAGGGGGTTAAATGAAGACTTAGGGCTTCGGGCATATCGAAGAAAAAAAGGACATCGTTTGAATGCTCGTCTAATGGACCTGAGACTGAAGAGATGCCGCGCTTTGTTGAAGCGGTACGCGAGAAAAAAATATCGGGAAATTCTTTTTTCGGGTGAAAAAATGTTTACCGTAGAAGAGAGCTACAACAAACAAAATGATAAGGTGTACGCACACAGTAGTGAAGAAGCGAGCAACCGTATTCTGTGTGTCCAACGAGGTCATTTTCCATCCTCGCTCATGGTATGGTTGGGAGTTTCTTATTGGGGCTTAACAGAGGTACTTTTTTGTGAGAAAGGTGTAAAAAGGAATGCAGTTGTGTATCAAAATACAGTCCTGACGAACCTTGTGGAACCTGTTTCACATACCATGTTCAATAGCAGGCACTGGGTATTCCAACAAGATTCGGCGTCAGCTCATAGAGCGAAGAGCACAAGACTGGCTGGCGGCGCGTGAAATCGACTTCATCCGGCACGAAGACTGGCCCTCCTCCAGTCCAGATTTGAGTCCGTTAGATTACAAGATATGGCAACATTTGGAGGAAAAGACGTACTCAAAGCCCCATCAAAATTGGAGTCACTCAAGACATCCTTGATTAAGGCAGCCGCCGATATTGACATGGACCTCGTTCGTGCTGCGATAGACGACTGGCCGCGCAGATTGAAGGCCTGTTATTTTCATAAGTATCTATGTTTTGTTATGTTCATTTTGGTATATAAATGGTTACATAATGAATAAACTTGTTTCGATTATTTTATATTAAACATGTGACAGAATTTATGACCTGACTAGGTAATAAAATGGTAGGAAAGTCAAAACTGTACATTGAATATTTTTTTTAAGTAATACTTGGGGTGTGTGATCTACAATCCATACCGAAGCCAAAAATATAGCTTTTAGAATTTTTGTCTGTTTGTCTGGATGTATGTCCGGAATAAACTCAAAAAGTACTGCATGGATTTACTTCAAATTTGGCACGAATATTATAAAGAAATTGGGTCAACATATAGGCTACATATTATCACGCTATCACCTACGGGGAACGAGCAGTGAACCTTTATTTCTAACTAACTCCACGCGTACAAAGTCGCGGGCGGGCGCTAGTTATTGATAAATTGAGATTATCGAGAACAAGAGTATCAAGTGAATTTCAGTTAAATCTTTTATTATGCCATTTTTTTATTTCTGTTGCATTTCTTCCATTTGACAATTACCTAGCCTAATCTTCATTATAATTACTATTTATTTTGTATTGAAATGAAGGCTTCACGCATTCTATTGCTTGTAAAAATATTTTAGTACTAAGTAAAACAAAATGAAATAAGAGAATTTTTGTACTAACACAAGAACCACAGGCCAAAGTGTCTGTAGATTCATAACAAGACGCAGCAATGACGGATGTAATAAAAAAAAACTTACCATATTATGTCTTATCAGTTTTCTCGGCTCAACGAAAGAACATTTGTTTCTTAGGTTTTCGCGCATACCACTCATTAAATAAAACAAGTTTCAACGATATAGATGCACTGATTTATTTAAAAGTCGAAGAAGAATTCGTTGTGAAATTTGCTTAGCTTATTAATCATATAATAACATTTGAACTGTATTTCTTTTCCGTTCTCAGGCGTAACTATATCAACACACAAACCTCGCACGAGCAACAAAGACGCGCCTGCGATGCAGCCACAAGACGCCAACAACAGGAAGAAATTCGCATTCCTATCGCGGGAGACCACGCCCGATTACCGGCCTTTAGGCACCTGGCAACCCGACTCTCAAGACGACGCGCCCATGGTAAGCGACCTAGATCAAAAAAAATAACTCAAATATATTTCGTTGCAAACAACGGGAAGAATTCGCCTTCCTATCCCGGGAGACTACGCCCAATTACCGGCCTTTAGGCATCTGGCAACCCGACTCTCAAGACGACGCGCCCATGGTAAGCGACCTAGATCAAAATAAATAACTCAAATATATTTCCTTTTAAACAACGGGAAGAAATTCGCAGTGCTATCGCGGGAGACCACGCCCGACTACCGGCCCTTAGGCACCTGGCAACCCGGCTCTCAAGACGACACGCCCATGGTAAGCGACCTAGATCGAAATAAATAACAGAATATATTTCCTTTCAAACAACGGGAAGAAATTCGCCTTCCTATCCCGGGAGACCTCGCCCGGTTACCGGCCTTTAGGCACCTGGCAGCCCGACGCTCAAGACGATACGTATGTGAAGAAGAAATAAATTCAATTCATAATTCATTTATGCACTTGTATTAATTTAGTGCCCTCGCATTCAAATCCGTAGTAGAAATAACTCTTTTGCAACCAACATCAAACGTTAATATTTCTACCTTTATTTGCACAGGTGCAAGTAACAGAGAAGTGCCAGAAAACGAATGCGAATCAGAACACAAAGTTCCACCAACTGCAGCGGATGTTTGGGAAACAGTCGGGCGACACTGAGCCCGTGCCTCTCTATAAGCAGATCAACCAGGGAGATGTGTTTAGTACCGAACATGAGGTAACTATTTGTTTCTTAGATTTTCACCAGCGTTGCCAAACGTCCCGATTTTTAAAACAAAATTAAATGTCCCACGCGGGACAGGCTCAATCCCGTTTTTCGGGAATAACTCGACCGTGTGTGACATTTAACGATAGGGTAAATCTGATTTAAAATATCATATTTTTTATTAAAATACATTCATAATTTTTATTTTTTAAGCATGTAACTGCTTGATGTTTAAATCTAAAGAAAAAAATTCCACGCGGACTAGGCAGCAGACGGGACTTGGACCCGCACCCTTCGCTATCCGGGCAAATGCACTGAACAATGAACAATAAATTTGGCGACTTGAAAACCGTGAAGCGTGCTTCGATCAACAATTACTTCAAGCCGCCAAAGAAAATCAACCAGTTTCTGCGACCTGTCAATATGGGTATATTGAAGTTTCAAGTTGCTGGAGGCTATAAACTTGAATGCGACTGTGGGCTCTCCTACATCGGGCAAACAAAGAGGAGTATAGGGACTCGGGTTAAAAGAACATATCGCAGATATAAAACATAGGCGCGAAAATAAGTCTGCAGTGTGTGAACATGCATTAGGGGGATCAAACCATTACATTAGATTTGATAAACCACAGATCCTCGCAACTGAACAACGATTCATTCCTAGAATGATACGCGAAGCTATTGAGATTAAGAAATATCCAAATTTCAATAAGGAAGATGGTTATATACCACCAGCTTGGGAACCCATTATACAACAGATAAAATCCCAACCCCAAGCACACACTGCAACACCAATAGATACTGTTAGTTTTTTTTTTTGCATAATTAACAATAAAGGGCGATAGAAAGCCTCTCTGAGTTTGTTTCGCCGATTCTTCTTAGAAAGGTCTCCCAATTTTGGAACCGGTGGTAGATTACGGTAGTTAGGGTCAAATAAATAAACTTAAAATTATATATAAAAATTACTTTATTAATTAAATTAGCTAATAAATTCAAGCATAGACAATAAAGTTTTAAAAATCTTCTAATGAAATATCCGAACACTCAATAAAAGTCTTTCGAAGATATCTCGACAAAGTAAATAAAAAATCATTATTTCTGAAGACAAAATCCTGAAAAGGCTGCGAAACGTCAGATAAATAAATTCAGTGCATATAACCCGTAAAATATGACCTATCAAGTTCAGCGTTACAATTTTTTTCGTTAAACTACCCATTTTGTTCCCAGTTGCGGCTTGCGTTCAATCGGCAAGGCGAAGAGTTGAGGATCGTTAAACGGCAACTGCAGAACAGTCAGCAACGAGTGAAAGAGTTGGAACAACACGTGGCTGCACTTCAAGCTCTCATACAACGCGACGCCGACGCCGCGTAGCTTCCACATGACGGTGAGAACTACCCTCAGAGTTATCATAGACTTCGGCACGTATTACAGAATGACAACTAACTGTTAATCTTTACTTGAGTATGTTTCGAAAGGGATGTCGCTATGTATAGCACATAGCAACATCCCTTTCTAACTGCGGATTGAACTGCTTAACGTGCCTTCCGAAGCACGGAGGAGCTCGAGATAGTAATTATTTGGTCACCCATCCAATAGCTTAGCTTCAACAACCGAACGCGCTAACCACTTGCGCCATCGAGCTCCTCTTATATTTGTGCGTGTAATTATTTTGATATAAGTACTTACTATGTATGTGATATGTGCCATTTGGTTGTTTAAATCGCACGTCAATTATCCACGTTGACGCTTGCGCAACTGGGCTTTGCGCAGTGTGGGAGGCACACAAAAATTTGTACTTTGATCCTTCAAATGTGCGCTGAAAAACCAACACGGAACCGCAAATCGCACTTATGTGATCAAATATGTGACTGTAGTACCAAATGCCCACGCCACTTATGAACACTTATTTAATCCCATCTTTGAACACATGTCTGGCGCCGGCATAAGGTCAAAAGAATAGACCACCCGTACTCTCCTCCCGAAATGCACCCACCTTATGTTTGTTTGGGCTTTTTAAGTTTCCCAGGTAACTCGAAATTCACGGTGTATAATGCGATTCGACTAAGAATAGGACCGACTGGGCGCCATATTGTGACGTCATAGCTGTCAATTCAAACAAAATAGGTAGTGAGCAGAATAAAATTATTATTTAACAAAAACTAATTTACTAAGATTAAGTGAGAAAAAAACATCCGTTTTTTTTGACTAGGATTCAGAAAAAAACCAACCTATTTTTAAAAAAAATTATTTATTAAGCCTGTTTGAGAAAAAAAATAATCAGAATCTAGCTCTTCAATTCCGCTTACCTCTGCATTACCGGAGTAGTTATGAATAATCATGCACTATTACTAGGTCACATACGAACATGCATCCTTTATGTAAACGAAAGTATTAAATCGATTTTCTGAATGCAACTTAGTGACATTTGGTTGACGATTTAGGTTATTAACCATTCATAGCCAAAACACAATAAATGAAAAAAAAAATATGAACCAATATTAATTATCAATATTTGTTATTGTTTGTTTACAAATGTTTGGTTTTTATTCTAGAATTAGTTGAGTGCAAAAAAAGGGTTCTAAGATTTTTTTGCAAACCGTACTTTTCAAGCGACATTTGACAGATGGAGTTGGATGGATCATTGGTTTTCCTATTCTTACTTGAGTCGCACTATATAAAGACATACATTAAGACCGTGGTTTTATTGATTTATAGTTTTAAAAAAAGTAATCAACATTAGAAATGGAATTCCATATACAAAGATTAGTAGTGCTTACAAGGTTTATTTTTCTGTGCAGGTAAATGCTGCGTGTCTTCAGAGTCACGAAGAATGGATAATGCTATAGCGTTGCTTTCAACGTTTCGAATGCCTTTATAATTGCCTAGTACCCACGTGTTGGCGCAGGGTTTCAGCTTGAATGCCAATGTGCGATACTGAAAACTTACGAGAACCTATTTTAATTAGGTACTTTTTCCTTTAAATAATAGTAAAAGTTCCGAAATAGATAGAACTCTTTAGATCGCGATTTATTTCCAAAAAAATGATTTTGCAAAATGATGGCTACAAAATTATAAATTTACTTATTTAAAAAATATTCTTGACTTTGTAACATTTAAACTATTATCATAGCCTTTAATGTATGAATCTCACTAAAGGTTCTGTCGTTGTAATTGTGTAGTGAAACTTTAAATACGCCATATTTTTAACATATATCTTCAAGGTACCTGCAAATAAGCAAACGGAAAATAAAAATCCCTTTTAGCAACCGAATCCTAAATGTAGCATTGATATAATTGGCCTTACAAACAACTGATAAAAAATCTGTTTCACTTAGTCAGGTGGTTGCGCTAAAATCCAGAAAATGAAGTAACTAAGTAGCATCATAATATGAAATTTTTTATTCAATGACATTTACATACAAATTAAATCTCGTCTATTCTATTTCGATATGCCTATAAAAGTATCGACCAGTGTTGATATAGTTATTTATGCATTTTGACAAAGTTGTTAATAAAATGCCTAAATAAAATATTGTAATGTGACGGCTTAAATTTATGCGTCGCAATGCCAAATAAGAAGCTAATAGTCGCGATGGCAGCTTACTCGCACTTAGAATGTCACAAATAATGTGACTGCTCAATGATGAATCATTGTAGCTGAAATTCCTTTATAATTAATTATACTACACATAATGTAGGCTACTCCTATGGTTTGACAAACTTTCAGTATTAATACACATTGCAGTATGGGAACAAAATTATGTATCATTCCAATATGTATTTAATACAACGGGAAAAACAATATTTCACACTTGTTATACCAAATTATATTTTAATTACTGACAATTTATTTTTGATTAATGATAACGATAATGGTGTCGATGCTAGCACGATTCTCTAAACCTCAAATTGAATTTGACATCATAAGGTGTCACAATCATATAAAAAAAGGTTATCCTTGTTATTCTCTATACAGAATGAAGATGACAGACTGATGTAAATTTTATTTTTTAAGTTTAGAGAATCATGCCAGAATCGACAACATTATTGGCATATTTTTCGGCCTAGTAATTGATGGCCTGTTCTGATAAGTTTTAAAATGCTCTTGTGATATACCCATGACATGCCGTTGTCACAAACTAGTTTAAGTATAATTTTCGTAATTTTTTTAGTATGATTTTGTGCAATTGTGATGGATTGTTTTTGTGATGTCGAATTTGCTAGCAAGCACTTTTTTATGGTTTGCACAACTTTTATTCCTAGTTTTATGAATTAGTTACTTGTTAGTGTTTTTATTAGTTTTTTACAATTTATGTAAACTGTTGTGTTACCTTTTTTGATGTTTTTTGCATTGATGTCATAATAACGTTTTATATACAGTTTACATTTGTACTTTATTTACTGTTTAAGTAACGGCATTTTCTTTCCTGGTGAAAATTAATGTTTTAAAATATGTGTGTAGCAGGAAAATGTACAAAAAAGTTACCTGAACTTTTTATGTACATAAATTAGTCGTAAGATTTTTAACAGGCATCTTGGATATTAGAAGTTTTAATTGCAGCTTTTAATATTGCTCATCATAAGACGGCAAGTTTTAGAACAAAGAGGAATATTTTTTTTTGTTTGTGCTGTCTATTTGGGACATGAAATTTCATTTACAATAACAATAAAGAATTCCATGTATTTTAATATTCCACATAATCGGATTTATAATGTAAACATTCCATGATTGGTATATAATTTTAGCTTGGTAAGTGAAAATGAAAGTATTATTGTGCTTAAGCTGAAATAATGATAATCTAAATGCTCGGTTTCTATATTATTCCTCTGCATGTATTCAAAGAGTACCTACCAATATAAAAGCTTCCTTGGCACCTAAAAAAACATTGTTCTTTCGTACTTAGAAAATTAAGCTGCTTCTACATTGCGCCAAAATGCAGCTTGCACTCTTGTATGTAATAACGGGCGCTCTCAGAAACGTTAATTAAATTTAATGCTGTTCAAAATTACGTGTTGTCTTAAGGCAAAAATATACTTATCTGTCATGTTGTTTTGACGCGTAAGAGAGGTATCGGTTTTATTCATTTAGTACGATTAAAATCATATTAGTACGTCGCGGTCTATCGAGATGTGTCAAATCCTACGTACTCACCCTACCGTACAAAATGTATGAAACCGATAGCTCTCTGACGCGTCAAGACACAACACAACAGATAATTATATTCTGCCTTAACTCTGTTGCTATTGAGAAAAAAGTGACATCATCAACTTAAAAATAAAAATTTTAATAAACGTATCGGGGGGGGGTGGTAGTCATGTTTTCTGTAATAAACCAAACCAATGCTAATAGTAGATACAGATTGGTACTTATACATTATAGAAGTGCTGATGTTTATTTTTATCATGGTTGTAATAACTCCGTATCAATAGGTAATTCGTTAAGGTAGTTATATAATCGCCCGTTTATCCGATCAATGCTTAAAATTGTAACTACAAAGATTCTGTTTAAAATGTGTCTTACACACTTTCTAACTACTGTGTACCTGATCCCGGTGTCAATGTGATCCATCGAGCAGTTTTGAAACAATTATTCCGGTTTCAATAAGGAAAGCTTACCATTAATAAGCTTAAATTTAAAATGTACACTACTTATTTAAAACTTTTTTTTTTCTATTTGGATTATAGAAACCATGCATTAGCTACATCGATGTTAATATTTATTATGTATTTTTGTATTATGCTTCTGTAGCACAAAATTTTCAATAAATGTTTGAACAAGATGTTTTTTTTCCTCAATCTAATTTGGGACCCTACGAGACTATTTTTTAAGTAATGGAGTCGGGTAATTTTCTTTAATAAAAAAAAATGGTTGCCTGTAAAGTCGGTTTTACGGGCGAAGATTTTACGTGACAACGTCTTTTTCTCGGTAGAATATTTATTGATATGAATATAATTAAATTGCACAATAGGAACAAGGAATTGAATGAAAATAAGAATTGCACAAATTTTAACTATAGAAATATATTTTGTTTACTAAAACATTGTTACATGTAAACTTAAACTTAACACGAGAGACTCATCGTAACGTTACCGAGCGTTACACTTTTTCATAAGTGACTCCCAGCCGCAACCTAATTTAAGACGTTGTCACGTCAAAATGAGTTGATTAATTAATTGTAAACTCACTTCCATCTTTTGGGTCACTTGGCCTTTTACATGAAACTGATTGCAGGTGGCTTACAGCAACTTCGAACTCAAAAAACCCGCTCATTCGGCCGCATTATAAGCCTCGAAGGAAAGGCGATCATGGAATATAAAAACAACATGTACTGGAATGAAAAATAATTTATTATCAAAGTGTAAAACTACGTATAAAGATCAGTCTGCATTACATGTATTTTGTGTTTTTTAATGCAAATTTATTTACTCATATGCTTTCTTAATATCTTTTAATGGCATTGTGATGAATGCTTTCATACTAATAAAATAATGCAACAATACATCTTATTATTCATATAAATAGGAATAAATTTTTCGATATCAAAATAAAACAAAAATAAATTGTAATGAATACCTATTTCTGAAGTTTGCAAGCTATTTAAATGTTTATGTCATTTATTTTGGAATGTAAGTACAAATACCATTTAAAGAATACAAAACCGGAGTTTTTAGTTATTTACGAAACTTATAATTAGAATTCTGTTTTTTTTTTTATGTTATAGGGGGCATACGAGCAGACGGCTCACCTGATGTATTATCTTCTATTTACAATAATTATTTTGTCCCAAACAGCAATCTATGGAAACTAAATAACGTAGGTATGACTAATAAACAAATATAATGCGATTCAACTAAGAATAGGACCGACTGGGCGCCATATTCTGATGTCATAGCTGTCAATTCAAACCAAATAGGTAGAGTGAGCAAAAAAAAGTTTTTTATTTATTATTAAATAAGTATATAAGTTTGTTAACTTATTTACTAATTACATTCAATTACTAATATTGAGAAAATAAAACCACCGATTTTTAATAATATTTATTTATTAAGACTGTGAGAAAAAACATTAATCAGAATCTAGCTCTTCAACCATTCATGGCCAAAGCTCAATAAGTGAAAAAAAATATCAATCGATAATAATTATCAATATTTGTTATTGATTGTTTACAAATGTTTGGTTTTTATTCTTGAATTAGCGGAGTGCTAAAAAAAGGTTGTATGTTTTTTTTTTGCAAAACGTACTTTTCAAGCGACATTTGACAGATAGAGGTCATTGGCTTTCCTATTCTTATTTGAATCGCATTATAATCCACTCACGATTTACAGAACTTTATAATGTTATCTTCACATGGCTATTCATTTAAGTTTGCTTTTTGTCATTTTTACAGCAGGTTGTCCTTATCATAACTTCAAAAGGAAAGAAAAGGAGAGACAGTCCATGTGCAGTGCCGCCATAATGCCCTTTTTCACATGGCCATTTATAAAGGATAAATATTTCGTACTAGCCCGTAACTTTACAATATTTTTTAATAATTATTACCTGTTTATTATTCTCATACAACTTTCGTGAAATAATCAAATATTTAAAAGTATAAAAATTGAGTGCATGTCTGTTTTAAAAGCAAAATGTTCCGTTTTACAAAATAAATGAATAATAAATGTACACAAAAAATATTTGTGTAAGTATATCGAAATAAATAATGTTATTTCTAAACTCCTTCAAACTATGACATATTTAGCCCTAATTTTTATTATAACAAATCACTGAAGGCCTAAAATAATAGATTTTAATATTCTGATCAGGCTTGAGACAAGGCTGTATGGTAATTAATCCTTCAATTTTTACAAATGGACAAAACTTTACAGATTTCCTGTCAGGTCGACGATAACAACTTATTTGTATTTATTTATGCTTTAAAAAAACTTTTTGTGAAGAATTAATTAGAGAAATATTCTAAGAAAATGCGAAAATGATGACTGTAAATATTTGCCAAATTTTTTTTGTCAACTGTAGTAAGGTAATGAGGTAGTAGGAGTTCTCATAATTTTCAAGATTGTGACTTTATCAAAAGTTCCTTACCCTTCTTTCATAGAAATTATAATTATTCAGCCATTTACCATTAAATATTACTAAGTACAGTATTTATACATTGCCAGGGCAGTCGCTCATACAAAACTTTACCATGTCCTTTGACGGCAGTATATTATAATGTTCTTATTCAATTCAATCCGTCAAGGTGATGGCGGGAGCGGCACATCATCTGCAGCTTTATCTCATATCAGAGGCCCAAGCACGAATTTTGACAGCTCCGTAATCATAACGCATCGTCAATTTCTATGAAAAGTAAACAGCGCCTCTATCGGACGTAAGAACAAACTAGCTTTTTCCATACAAAATTTGACAATAAATAAATAAATATTTACACCATGAAACCTGACATACAAACCGTTCAGCCACGAAGGTCATCAATAATGATACGATTACGGAACTGTCAAAATTCGTGCTGGTGCCTCAGTTGTGTTGGTACTTAATATGACTGCTCGTATTTGCTAAGTAAACCTGCATCTTTCTTTTGGTTCAAACGAGTTTAGCTTTAATTAACAAAGAAATGCAAATAATTACAGGATTGTAAAAAACATCAAACAAACTGGTATATAATTATAAAAAATAACTTCAGTATTTTTCTGTCAATCATAATATAATTATGATTGCTAGATGTAAAACAAAAAACATCAGAATTGAATTATAGAAATCTTCAACTATAGGTGTTTAATAAAATTTTTACCCGAAATTGAGTATGTTTCACTATAATTTATAAATGGTAATCATATATTAACTAAATAATAATCAAAGGCATATTGTATTCTTTTAAACTTAAAAAACATACTTAAATTGATTTTATAATCCTTTAAATTATAAAAATGAAAAAAAATAAGTTTGGTGGAAATCTAATTTAACAGTTACATTCATACAAGATGCACACAAATACAATTATTACTTACTGTTATTTATAAAATCACCTTAAAAATAAATACTAAAAGTATTGATATTACACTAATATGTATGCTTGTAGCAGCGTTACATCCATCTGTACTACACGTGTATATGCAAGTCCTATACTCTAACTTATCTCCGACTTGGTGAACATAGTTGCAGTAGTTTCCGAGATCCAAAGAAGAGCAATACCTTTTCGTACTTATACCACCTAAAATAAGAAATAATATATAAAATAACAACTAGATCAGTTTAAGATTAACTTTTGCCAAACTCATTTTTATGCAAGCATGCATGCAGTTTCCAGTCACTTACAATTCTAAAATTTCTATACAATATTTTTAGTACTTATTAACACTTTATTAGGAAGATGCCTTTTGTACCGAAACAATTTATTTATATTTTCCTCGTTCTGTTTATTAATTTAACAAATAAGCAAAATTTACAGTGTACTTAAAATAAATTTTAAAATGTTTCAGAAAATTTTGTGAATGTGGTTACACACTATTTACAAAATACTTTATAGAATACTTAAAAAAAATAATCTCCCAGAAATTAATTTTCCATCTCAAGTGTTGATTTGATGAAATAAGAGGGTTTTAATTATTGCTAAATTTAAAATACATAATAGAATGACTATGATACTCACACATGTACTAATTCCCAATCCATATATTATTATTATTGTGTGCCTGTGCTGTTCAATTCATGGTGTTAGCATTCCTATTATCTTGTGCATATGCCTCCAGCATTTTGTGCTATTTGTGTCACATCAAATGTTTTTGTGGTTGCGTTAGTTAAATTCCCTTTAAATGCCATGCAACAACTATACAAATCCCATCAAATGAAAATAAATATAACCACCAATAATTTTGATCAGCTTCATTATTGTATAGGCATTTTTATATAATATTAGAACTAAAGACTGTATTAAATAATACAATTACATCAAAACAATGCCATTTAAATTTCATTTGATGAGATATTGAAGCTCTTATCATAGTGTTAGTCAAACCTATCTGTTTAATGCAATACTGTGCATTATAGACATGTTGGCATGAAGTTGGTTTCAACATGCCTCCATCTAAATTCATTAGACCATCACCACATTCCATTGTAGTAGAGGAGTTGCACTGGTAACAATCTAATGCAAAACCTAAACAATTAAAAGGTAAATAATTGTCATATAGATTGATACATTGGCTTTAGATAGTAGCATGTAATTTTACATTTTTGTTACTATAAAATATGTTAGTGCTATAATTTAATTCATAAATTTATGGGGTCTCCATTAATTTTTGAGGTTAGAGGTTAGTTCCATCTCAATTTGTCCCTGTTTGTACATATATTATTTAGCCCTTCAGCCACTCTTGCCATCAGTAGAAGTCTAGAATTTCGTCATCTCACCTTCATATCGGCCTACATATTTTATACAATGCTGAGCGTTATGGATAGTGGAACAGTCAGTTGGTTCCAAATAAGTATCTCCTTCCAAATATTCATTGCAATCAAACGGATTGTTCGAATCAGTGCCTGAACACTGATAACAGTGTATCGAATAAACTAAAATGAAATAAAATAAAACAAAACAAAACAGAAAATAGAAATCAAAGTAACAAAACTATAATACTACCTGACAGTAAGTAAAGCTTACCTGTTTTTAGTGACACTATGAATAAATATAAATAAATTGTGGGAGTAAGTTTTGCAGCCATTTTTTAAAGTTTTAAACGAATTATTTAATAAATTTATAAAATCAATATGACTGTAAAGATGAAATGAAACGCAATACACAACCAAAAACCAAACCAACAGATTCAAAAAATTAAAAACATTCAATGAATGAATCAATCAAACAAAACAACATGCGTTCTCGTTCATTCGTTCGCCCCGCCCATGGAACAGACCAGGGATGTATTCCGAAATGTACATCAGTATACTGGCCAGTGGTAATGACGTCACGAATCCGACGCCATATTGTACTGGTATGTATGCTACCATATTTTTACCGGGTGGGAATATCAATCAATCAATCATTTATTTAATATGACGTATGAGTATGACCGAGCGTGCGTGAGATGCATTCGAATTTTATTTCTTTTTTATTTAAAGAACAATATTGGCATAAAAAATCTTCTTTATTCGCACTATTTTTAATATTTCGTCGATTCGTGACGTCATTACCTTATTTACAGACAGAGGGTGTATTCCGAATCAAACACCAGTACGCTGGCCAGTGGTAATGACGTCATGATTTCGACGCCATATTGACAACACTACTACTACACCAGTGCAATATGGCGTCGAAATCTGGTTTATATTTCGGAATACACAATGTTACCGTAAAATTATTCGAAATCACCATGACATATCCATAGAGATATAAGAATAAAGTAGGGGAGATATGTACTCTACTACAAGTGGAAGTGTCCGTCTAATAGAAAGAGAAAGAAGATGAGGAGCGGCTAGCTATCTCTCTCTCTTGTGACTGCGCAGTCGTGTGATTGATGATTGTGTGTGTGATTGGATTGGGAATTAGTCAACGAATACCCTAGTTACACCACGTGCGCTCAAAATGTGTCCCAATCAAGAAGTGCTTGAACACGACTCAAGCACTTATTGATTCACAGTCATGCGCGGACCGTTGAAAAGTCAACATGCCGCTGAGCTAGAATGTCGATTTTTCGACAGGTATCAATGTTTGATACCTGTCGATTTAATTTAACGCATTTGAAGTAAAATTTAATATAAGTATTAAGTAAGCTTACTATAAACTGATTACACTGACGAATACTATAAACTGATTTAATAGAAAATATTTGTGATATTCAAATGCATGGTCGGTAATATAGCCGTCTCTTTTCCTCGCGGACCGTATCTGCTATATTACTAACAGCGCATTCAGAATTACGCGTAGAACCAAAGAAATAAGGTCTTTATTCTTCTGCATGTAGCAGTAAATTTTACGAGCTTACATATCGGACTGTCATAACTCTTTGACCCGTGCGTTTTAATTAAGACCTTAGATAGATGCTTTAAAGGTGATTTTCAAAGTTTGAAATTTGCCTTATATTGTTTAGACTACGCGATCATCTTACGGAGCTCCGTGGATCGTCCAATGTTCCTTGTGGTCAGGTTCCGAAACCTGCCCGAGCATGAGTTTGTCCGTGTTGGTGTATCTAGATGGTATTTAATATCATTGGAATTAGAACATAATTATTGTGTGAGTATCATAGTCATTCTATTATGTATTTTAAGTTTAGCAATAATTAAAACCCTCTGAATACATCAAAGGACATTGTTCAGCGTCCATACATAGTTAGCCTAAGAACCAACAATCATGAAATATTATTTTCTAGGTTCAAAATCGTAAGTAAATGACTGTAAAAACAAAGATTATTGACGGACACTTCTGAGAACCTAAATTATTAGGAAAACTTAGGAACATAGGTCAGCCTATGAATTTAGTATAAACTCAGTATGAAGTGAATTAATATTACAACTAATTCATTTTACTCTGTGCGATTTTAAAGAATAACTATTAGGAAAAACTTGGTTAGGTAGGAATCATGAATAAAATAAAAAACTGTAATTTTGCTTCTTATTTATTGACTATTTTTCACATATTTGTATCATATTGTATTTATTTGTATATCACATGTAGGTATATTTTGTAAATATGCAGCGTGAATGTGTATCAGTTGTTCTTGAATAATTTGGCAGTATGATCCTCTCAGGATGTTGTGGCACAGGTTCACTAGCACTTGGTAATTAGGCCGTATACAGAAAGAAAGCCGATCGGCGCCGATCGGCGCTTATCGGCGCCGATCGGCGCTTATCGGCGCCGATCCTTCCTACATAAAAGAAGCCGATTAAAGCAGATCAAGCAAAATGTCGGACTCATCGGACGATGATTTGGTTCTGTTAAAAAATGATTATTTAAAAATGCGAAAAACAGCTATACATCCTATAAATAGAGAAAAAAACGTTTCGGAGAATACCATCATTTATTTGTAAAAAAATTGAAATTTGATGAACAAAGATTTTATACATATACAAGAATGATTCAAGAAACATTTTATTACATTTTGGATTTAGTGAAAAACCGTTTGATGAAAAATTGGGGCAATTGGCATAAACAACCAATCCTTCCAGAAGAAAGACTTGTTGTCACCATTCGGTAAGTACGAAACAAATAATTTTAGCGCTTAGTTAATAAAAGATAAAGTTATTAGATTTATAAAAAGACTAGCTGACTCGGCGAACTTCGTACCGCCCAAAAGTAATAATTTGCAATAAATTAAAATTGCGACTATAATTTGAGATTTAAACTATCCTATCTCTCAAGTTGGATCGAACTGCACATGGTGTGCGAATTTTATTATAATCGGTTCAGTGGTTTAGGAGTCCATTGAGGATAAACATTGTGACGCGAGATTTATGTATATTAAGATTATAACTTAGATTGATTTAATCTAAGGATAATAATTCAAATACAAATTATTTATTATTCAGACCAGCGCGTGTCGGCGCTTATCGGCGCCGGTCCATACAAAAAGGATCAGCGTCAATAGGCGCCGATCGGCTTTCGGCTTTCTTTCTGTATACGGCCTAAGGGTCTGCCCTTTGGTAACATCGATGGCATATAAGATAGCCGAAATAGTTAAATTAAAGGAAAAACAATCGCAAATAAACACAACAGGTAATCCGAAACGAGAATGCACTTTCCTGTTTTTTATACTACTCTTTGGAATGCACGAATGCCACAGATTACTACGAATTTGTGTTGAGTAGGACTTACAAGAGGCGGTACATTTGTCCCGGACATGACGTCAAAATGTAAGAGCGGCTCAAAATTTTAAAATGTACTACTTCAAATTGAATGTCGCGATAGTCGCGTCTCGTTACTCACTCACTCTTCGTAAGTCTGAGAGAGAGCGAGGCATGACATTTCATTTAAGTCCTCTACGCACTATCCATCTGTATCTCTATCTCTCCTTCCTAATCCTTGTCACTCGCACTGGGTTGCGTTCAAAACCTACGCTCTAGGTGCAACAAATATTTAAGTTGACATTAGCTTCATACATTTTATGTCAAAATTTAAACGTCAGGGTAAAAGTTGCACTCAGAGCGTAGGCATTGAACGCAGCCCAGGGTTGCGTTCAGAACTTACGCTCCAGGTCCTATTCGTGCACACAAACGTAATGTCGAGCTTCTGTACGCCTCAATGTCATATTTGTACTCGTCACTTCAAATGTATTGCCGAGCTTCAGTACGCCTCGCCTCATTTGAAGTGGGACATTGTACTGGCTCAGTACAAAAAAGAGGCTACTCTTACAAACTCTTTTTCAAGTCGTGTCCTACCCAACACTACTACGAATGCAAAATGCATGCACCACAACCACAGAGTAACGAGTTTTATGCCGGCCCTTCACTTGACAGTAGTTTGTCCTTGTCATGCTTATTATGGAATGAAAAGGACAGACTGATGTCATGTTTTAAAATAGCAAATACGAATAGCCAAGTTAAGTGCCGGCATTAGGAAGAAACAGTGTTTTGTTTGCAGCGCTGCCATAGATTATACACATAAAATGGTATTATTGTCTCATATTATTTTTTAACTTTTTAATTTAGCTTACTTAACTGGAAGTGTCCGTTACAATCTAAATATTGATAATTATCGCAAAAAATATACTAAGAATTATCATAAATGCCAAATTGGTGTTGGTTCTTAGGCCAATTTTAACATTGTCCTTTACACTTGAGATGGTAAATTAATTTCTGGGAGACGATTTTTTTTTTTAATAATGAATTATCCGTTAATACCGCAGAGAGAGAATGTTAATACGGATGAGATGATCGCATTTGCGATTAGAGAGAGAAAGGCTAGCCGTCTCTGATCTGCTTTCTCTTTTTACTAGGACGGACACTTTTAGAGCCACCATCCCCACTCTATTGTTATACCTTTATGGACATATCACCTCAAAATAATGGGTTAAGCGAACCATGGGTCAGTTCCCCAACCAAAAGTAAATATTTATATAGCTATAAGCAATAGCTTATAGCTTATAATTAAATATAAATAAAAGCTTATGCTTATGCTTATTTTTTTTAAACTAACGTATAGTTTGTTCGTCTAGCTTGAAGACTTCGACTTCAAAATTGAAAATGCATTTGGCTTTTTTTTTTTATAAAATAAGTAAAAATATCTAGTTCATGTTTGGAATGCGGGCGGAGTCAAGATTAAAGGAAAAGGCAAGCTAGGCAACCAGTCTAGCTGCTAGCGAGGTAACTAACTAGGCAAAAAGCTAGTCTGTTAGCCACGCAACAAGCTAGGCTGCTAGCTAGGCAACTAGCTAATCAACCAGCTAAGCTGCTAGCTAGAAAACAAGTTACGCTGATAGCTAGGCAACAAGCTAGGCTGCTAGCTGGGCAACTAGCTAGGCAAAGAGCTAGGCTGCTAGCGAGGCAACTAGCTAATCAACCAGCTAGGCTGCTAGCTAGGCTGTTTCACTGCTAGCTAGGCAACTAGCTAGACTGCTAGCTAGGCTATTAGCTAGGGTGTTAGCAAAGGTAACTAGCTAGGCAGCTAGCAAGGTAACTAGCTGGGCGACTAGCTAGGCTGCTAGCAAGGCATCAAGCTAGGCTGCTAGCTCCGCAACAAGTTACACTGCCAGCTAGGCAAAAAGCTAGGATGCTTGCGTGGCAACTAATT